TGTCAATATTCAGTGCGTAACAGTACACTGCGACGTTACGTTGCGCTACTGAAACGAAATTTTATATTAAATGGATAACGGGATGCTATGCGGAAGGTTGAGTGCCTTCTTGACTTACTCGTTTAATATAGTAGTTCGTCGTTTACCGTCGTAGTGTTTTCAGTTTAAATTAATTAAAATACGAATTGCTTCGCGTTACGGGTAAAGGAACGCTGTAGAATTAATTTTCTCAAGACGAAATAAAAAAAAAATATTATTTTAAAATTTTTTCCGCATAGGAATTTATTCGAAATTTACCGGCAGTGATTATCCGATTCTCGTGGTCGTACATAAAGTTTGACGGAACAATAATTCAGATAACTCGGGAAATTATAATACGGGGTAGACGGACAATAAACCGAATCAAACTAATCTAGAATTTGTTCACCGTATCCATATGCTAGTCGATATAGGTAACTGTGGGCCAAGTAGAACAAACCGACAATTTTTTTTTTCAAATTAATATATAGCCAACATAATAGCACTAACACATACAGCGTAGATATATTTAATCAATAATTAGTAACTACTCGATAAAAAATTTATTATTTGGTAAATGTTCAATATTCATTTGTTACACATTTTTAAACATTGAATTATGTATCATAATATTATTATAATAATGAACTTATACAATTTTAAATTTTCATTAATTTTCAAATATTTTTTTTCTTATCAGTAAATAAGATATTATATTAATATAATATAAATATTATTTTATAATATTATGTAACCGATGAGATGATATCGAACGATTACTATCGACGGTAAGATATAAGCGATTTAGCAAATCTTACACGTCTTATAAGATAATATTATGCAATAGGATTACGTTTGTAGTTAGTTTTAAAGAACATTGAACGTTTTTGACGAGTTTATTAATATAAGGAATAAAGGATGATATTGCGATGGTCAAAAATAAATTATTTATCAATGGTGTTATCGTGTTATAAAATTAACGATGTCAATATATGTTTTAGAATGCGAAAAAGGTGTTCACAAAAAAGAAAGTCGTTATTCCGACTGTAACTTTTTCGTGCATTTCTTTCATTCGTCTTGTTCTATTCAATTACAATTACCCATGAAGTTCTCAAATATCACATCGAAAAATGCTATAGATTTCTAATGAAAAAAAAATAGTGTACAAAATTCCCATGTCGAGTGGACGCAAATAATATCCAACGCAATACTGTTTGCGAAAACAGTCATTGCAGCTTATCAAATAGAAACATTTCTCGGGATTTTAATCATTTTTTTTTAATCATTATATTATAGTGTTATGTTTCTGTGCAACGCGTACCGGTAATAATAATAATAATAATAATAATTTATCGTGGTGGATCTAGATATTTGATATTACTAAAAATAATAATTTATAAAATATAGGTAGAAACTAAAAGCTTATTATTGTGACATAATAATAATATCTACGTATTTTTTTTTTTAAAATAAGTGAGGTCGCCATCGAAAACAAAACGATATTAGTGGACGGCATAAAATGAGGTAAGAGAAATAAAACTTATTTCCGTGTTCTTCCGTTGTAGTTGTCTGTACACGTACTGTAATGTATTGTACATCGGAAGTATTCGTAACTACGGCAGCACCAACATACCCTTGTTCAATCATGTAATTGTAATTTATTCCAATCAAATCAAGCGAAGCTAATAGAATGCTAACAAGGCCTTTTCCCGTAAAATCAGTTAACGGAACAAACAGTAGAAAAACTTCATTAATTTGACCATTATTTAAAAAAACCTCGCACACAAAGAAAATTTTTGATACCAGAAATATTCAATGTTTCATCTGCTAATATTGAAAAACATTTTGTTTCGTTCATTTTACAGACTATATTTGTTTTAAAATATTTTCCTCACATGATGAAATAATTACAAAATCAATACATTTCTAATTGCGTTTTTAATAAAACCACTATTAACATGAAATTTCAATAATGAACAAAAATTTCCATAATTTTCATTAGGCTCCGTTAAATTCAAAGGGGCCACTATCTCTACGACCTCTGAAAGGAAGATTTTGTCTGCTACAAAAATTTATTGTTTCAATTATTGGGGCTATAATTATTATAACTATAACTATAGTATAATAACAATAATTAGGGTACATATTGTATTTGTTTTCAAATATTTTATACGTAGATGTACTAATTTTATTGGTATCGTCCTATTTCGTCGAATGCCACTTTATCGACAAAAAAAACCAAATCCAATTTTGCCGAAAAATTATAGGTTTTTACACATCAGAGCTTTTTTTTTTTTTATATAATTGTCAATAAAATCGTATTCGTTATGTCAAAAAGCCTGAAAAATTAATACTTGGCTTCTAATATAGTGCGACAATGGTAGTTGAAAAATATTAAAAACATATTTACGATTTTTAAAGTTCGAATTTTGATTAAATCTATTAATTATTACTAAATACATTAATATAAGAGTATATAATATATTAAAATTAAATATATTATTTGATAAAATTTATTATTTTTTTCCAACATCATGTCTTATACATAGTTAAAATTATATTTTACTATGGCCCAATTCATTTAATCAGTACGCTCTTTTAAGTGCACGGGTTGTATCGTGAAATTTTTAATGGAAAATGCTCGAAAATAAAATTGATAAATTTCAACAAAAGAAAATCTTATTTTATAATAATTTTACTTTTTTTTTTTTAAACATTTTTTTTTAATTTAAAAAAAAAAAGTTTGTAACAAGTTGAATAACTTCGCGGATCACATGTGGCCAGCGGACCGCGAGTTAGGTACCATTGCAGTGCATTGGTCTACGGTGCGTTCGAGTCGACCCTGATCCGGAAATGAGCGGACCGACATACACCACCTTTGCGAGGAGGTGTTTTGCGTTCGAAGAGAAACGTTTTCGTCGTATATTGTTCACGACGAAAATTTTATAAGATTTTTGCGTTTACCGTTATTCGAGTTCGTTACGTTGCGTAGCTTTTAGGCTTCCCGTCATCAGTACGATGTCTTCCCCCGCGAACATCCTAACGGCTTTGCTCGCGATCGAACGTACGTTAACGTAATGATATGTGCATCGCGAGTAAGATTTAACAATGCGAATTCACTCATTGTAAATATTGAATACATGATCGCGCTAGCCAGATTATTTTCGTGTGACGTTCAGCGGTGTTCGTTTAAAGGCGTGTTTCTTCCGGACGCGGTGACAATGTCTCGCAGGGATGACGCGATGCACGTTTTGAGTCTTGTACGGAAATTTAGCGACAGTCAAAATGTCCAAAACACTAACGTGGTATTGTAACTCTTTTGGACGTCAAACCAGATAGTCGTGAAACAAAATGGGCAGTGTTGAGCATAAATAGTAATTAAAACATTCGTAAACGCAAAACGAATGTCAATGTATACGTTATAGGTGTAGTTCACCAAAACTAATTGTAATGGGTTTTAGAAACGAGTGAAAACCAACTAGGTCTTAACGGAAACAGATGCCATCCTTTTAACGTATGTTCGAATGAAATACGAGTTAAATAAATAATGCAACAAGTCAAATCGTAGAAATCCGTATCTGGAGAAATGTAAACGAAATGATTGTTTTACGGTGTATACGAGAACACTCATAGCCCACCGTGCAATATTTTGTTATATTTACTTGTATGGGATGTTTCAAGCAACATTGTAACATTGCCTTTTTTGGTGCAATCATGTTGAAACGTTTATGCATACGCTAATGACCAAAATAGACGACCCAGCATTAGAGTAATTTTCAACGCATATGTAACGTATTTTGAACCATTAATGTAACGTCGCAATAACATAGCATTGATGTTTTGAAAAACCTCCCAGGAACATTTCAGTGACATAACTATGATGTTGATTAAAATCGAAATAATTATATTGTAAAATAAAGCAAAAATTACTAACTTTCTTATCACCTATAGAGATAATCGAACTTCATACATAGCCCTACCTACAACCTATTGAGTCTCAATCCTACCGAGTTCGCCTAACCTATCCTATTATATAAATTGAACAAGAACATCGTGTTTAGCTATTATATTTGCCTCAATTAGTCGTACATTTATATGTAAATATTCTAAACTTCTTATTCAGGTCTTATAAAATAACTACTTTGTAAATTATAAATTCTCATTGCTTAGTTAAAATATTCGACGAACAAATTACATAAGGTAGGTATGTAATCTATTTTATAAAGAAAATAGTGATTGAGATCATAAGACTCAATTAAAAGGCAATACATATTTTCATAAATAACATACACTTTTCAAACTTATACCTACTTATTTAATTTTCAACGATAACTAAACAATACCTTTAGATAGTAACGTACATAATGTGAATTATATAATAATTACACTGTAGAGTGTAGATAGATTTTTCTTAATAAAAACATATAATATATTTTAGTTTATTTATTCACATAATTTTCAAAAATAAAATTAATTTAAGTAATTATACATTAATATTATAATTGAACGATGAAAGTATAGAAAATTCACCAAGTAAGAATTCAGGCGATTCACGATCACGTACAGGCACACAGAACAATTAATAACAATGTTAAAACTTAAAAGATGTAAATACGTATAACGAATCACTAATCATAATTCATATGAGCTGGTAAGTGATACGTACAGGCTAAATGATGTGCATGTATTTATAAACACAATGGCTGGCCGGGTTCGCGGACAATTCACCGTGTGATAATTCACCGCGCGACTATTCACCGCACATAATTCACCGCGTTTACAATTCACCGTGGTTACAATTAATCGCGGTAACAATTAATCGCGCGAAATTATTTATAAAATAATTAATATAGGACTCGTAAAAAATAAGATTACATATATAAAAATTATAGAAATATTATAAAAATTTATTAAAAAAAATTAAATTATAACATATATAAAAATTATAGAATTATTATAAAAATGTATGAAAAAAAACTACATTAAACATTTAGCTGAAAATTATGGGCTATGCCTCTTAAATAATCTTCTATTAATATATTTCTATAACTATCACATACTGTTTTTAATCTTGCAGCGAAGTCCTTATATTTTTTTTTCACTACTGTAGAATTACCTAATAAACATTGTTCAATTTGAATTTTATTTAATGTTTCTTCATTTTTGAACGCCTCAATACACTTCCAAATATTTGGATGAATCACATTTAATGTTGATGAAAAACTATTATGCCATCCTTCGACAGAATTGTTAGTTCTCGGAATATTTTCTTTTAAGTAAGCATGACAGTTCCATAGGCTGATTGGAAATAAGGCTGGTTTTCTTCTATTTCTGCGGTCTACTCGACCTATCCACGTGTCTTCAAAATAATTTGTCAATGGAGTTAAAAGCTCTTCATGTGTTGTATAATAATTAGTGTCCATCAAATCGTTGAAAGCCTGTTCAACATCATCTACTGGTACAAAACTAAGAGCGGTCATCATTCTTATTTGAAGAGCAAATTCTGAATCTTCAATATATTGTTGTTGAAGTCCAGTTTGCTGAACATGTCTCCAAACAGACTGGGTAAAATGAAAAAAACAACCTCGAATTTTCGTATCTGGAAAATGTTTTGAGATGGAATTCATGGTAGCTTTCTCGAAATCAACCATTATTGTTTCCGGGCTTAGTCCAGTTTTTATTGATTTCAATGCTTCAAATAAACGACAGTAAGTAGATTCCATTTTATTAGGCAATAATGCAAAAACTGACGGGAATACATTACTGTATTGGATACCATGGATCTGTAAAAAATCATAATATACACATTTATTAAATTTCTATATATTTCTATATGAATATATTTTTACAAAATCTAACTTTTGTTACATATAATAATAATTGTATGTATTTGTTGCGTATCGCCAAGAAGACGGAATTATTATTATGTTATCATTATATTGTTATTATCTTTATCAAGTAAAAACAGGTTAAATACATTATTATGACAAGTGATAGATGCTATACGTATAGGTATAATATTATACTAATACTTCACGTTTATTGCACGAAATTGCAATTGTTCGGGACGACTAATCTTTATAATGTAAAGATTTACGATTCGTGATTTACGATAAGAATTTTTGGTTTGTTAACCTTTTATTTGAATATAAGTTTAAACTACCTAACTTTAGTTTAATAAAAATGTTACCGTATATATTTGTGTAAACAGTGAAGGTGATGTCGAAAATGCTCCATCTGCATACCAATGCTTACAGTTTTTCATAAGACGTAAATTTCTTTCGGTCGAAAATAAAAGTATTCGGTCTTCTCCTGGGCCACTATCATGCAACAAAAATGGATGTTCATCGTTTGTTAACCGATACTTTTGGGGTATCACTAAATCACTAAGTGATTTTGGGTTAAGTGGTATAGTCTCTTCCTCATTTCTTATCCTCCGAATCGTCCGTTTAATTGAAGTTAATTTTGGTAGATGCGCTGCTGCTGAACTTGTCAACTACAGAATTTATAATAGTATAACAGTTACAGTATAGAACATTTTAATTGTTCGTTTAAATTATATTTTGAATAAGTGAACTTACTGATGTCGAAATTAAGCCTATAACTGCACGTGGTCTCAAGTCGGGTCGTTCGATTGCTTTTTCTTTTAATTTATTCATTGCTATATTCACCTCAATTTTTCCAGAGTCCGGAACATGATTGTGAATTTGTTCTTTTATTATTTCATCATTTCTTACATGTAAACGTCCCTTGCATTTCATTTTTTGATAATTTTCACACTTCCATATTGATTTATTTAACCCTGATTTTTCGTATACATAAATGTACCCTTTAAAAGTCAATTTATCTCTACCCCGTTCACTTTTAATATATAATATATTCATAATCAACAATTAATTAATAAAAACTAACGACGTATTACGTATACTTACGTTCCGGACACGATTGAAACAAAATGTACAAAACGGCCAATAGATATAACACAATTATAATTTAAGTATGACATGTTTTCTGTATATTTTTAAATTTAGCTTTTAGGTTTGGTAACGTCAAACCCGAAGATATTTAGAGCAAAAACGAGTTTTACGTGAACACGTCTTATTAGATTTACAATCACTCAAGAGACTATGTCTACGTATATAATATGAACGTGTATATTATGTTACGATAAATTTTAGCCGCGATGAATTGTACCGCGGTGAATTGTACACCCGGTGAATTGTATTGCGATGAATAGTCACGCGGTGAATTGTCCCGCGGTGAATTAAATGCGGTGAATTGTCCGGCTACCGGCTGGCCGTAAGGGGTGGGACGCGGTTTATTAGCAATATGGGTAATCCCGATTCCCGATTGTTTTCAGATATTATTTTTAGTATATTTTATATTTTACAAAAACAAATAGTTGTAGATTATACAATGCCAACTATTAAATTATAAGAAACATCAAGGTAACGTTACAGAAACTTGTTTCTAGAACGTTGTAAATTGCAGGTACATTTGATGTTGATGGAACAAACCCTAAAATAGTGTTATAATTATACAACCCTGCAATGTTTTGTAACTTTAAATGCACAGTGGGAGGTAAGTGTGGCCAGTAACGAAGTAACGAAGTAACAGTTCGAAAAAGTTAAATAAAAAATATGATTCAAAAATGTATAAAAATGCATACCAGAGAAAAAACCTCATTCGTGCAAGATTTGTACCTAAAGAAATGTTTAATATTTTCTACTTCGATATTATACACAAACACAAGTACTTACGCTTGGTAACGAACACATATTGTTAATTTATACCTGAATTCACTTTGTAAACATCGCATTAACCTTTAATCATTTCGATATTAATAATATTTCTATATAAAACTCAAAACATATATCGCAATATTCCCGTGAGACTTTTTCATGGAAACATCTCAGAACGTCATATTGAAATAATCACTAGCGAGACTACGTATTCAATATTTATGATGTATAAATTTGCATTGTTAAACTTTACTTTTGATCGGTCTTGTCTACTTAGAAATATAATCGTTATCTATTATTATATCTGTTTATTTATCAAGATATTTTTTCATTAATCATAATTTAAAACATTGATAATATTATAAATTAATTATTTATTATTAATTATATTATGAGTATAGTAAAAATATTATTCACACGTAAAGTTCCTTGTACTAAGGATTTCAATAGCTTCGAAACCCTTACCGCGCAATCATTGCATGTTAATCCAGATAATATTTAAAGTTAATGCATATTGTAATGTAAAATCATTGTTTTTACCTTTTTTTTTATCTAGATAAATTATGATTTTCTTTTATCTTTTATAAAGATAATTTTAGTTGAACTTATTTTTTTATCTTTACATTTATGGATTTTTTTTTATCTAGATAAAAAAGTATTTATCTGTGCGCAACACTGCTCGTTAAGCACAGTGAAATATTTTTATATAATATTTTACGCAGAAGCTTGCAGGTATTCACAGAAGTGGAGTGGGAACCAAATTCAGGCTAGGATATAACAATTTATACACTGCGCTCACCACTCACTAATTAAATGGAAAACGATTTCTCTCTGCATACGAATTCGGTATTGGATTAAAATTCAAATATTTTGTTTTATTAATAATAATATTACTCTTTTTAGAAGTAATAAAGTATTTCGATCACTATTTCGCTATTCCATTTAACTTCTAATGCCCTATGTATATTTTCTTGATTTCTATCGAATTGTCAAAATGGAATATTCATATTTATTTTTTCAATTAAGTTTAGTATTTTTTCTATTTACTAGTAAACTGTCAAAGGAGTAATCAAAACAAATACGAACAATATAGTTGACATATTGATATTGTGGTTTCTAATATTATTCGATAAGTAGAGCCGGACTGGGTCAGATATTTCTACAGGGAAAAGAAAAAAAGCAATCCATTTAGGTAGATATGCCAAAGGTATAAAAACAACCCTTAAAAAACGTATGTTTTCATATAAAACTATTGTATATTAATTTAAAATTTGAACACTTAATATTATTATTAAAAATTAAAGACCGTTTACTTAATTCCAGACAGTAAATTTAATGAAATTGCATTAGAAAATGTGATTATGTCTGTTGACACAATGAGTCTAATCCGATAAAAATAAAAAAAAGACTTTCCGACGAGTACATAGCGTCCCCGTTCCCGTCTGTCCGGTACGGCCCTGTCGATAATCGTTCCGTTTTATGTATCGAATCTTATAAGATCAACTACGTCCGTAAACGGTTTATAGGGTTCGCGTGGGATCATCGTGTTGGAACGCGCGAAAAAACGCAGCCGACAAGTTCCTAACCGGTCGTCCTATTCGATTTCATCGTTTCGGCAAACGGCGAAATCGCACGCACAAGTCGACCGCACTCGAACCGTAGAGACAATCGGGCGGTACGCGGTTTTCGTCCGATAAAAACGGAGGAAATCGTTTTGGAACGAGATCGGCGCGCCGGTACGTTGTTTTCGTTGTAACGATATCAGAATGAGGGGAGGGTAGACTTTGTAGTCGACTGCCTGCACGACGGGACGCGGTGTTCGGCCGCTGAGATCGAAATCGACTTCGCCTACGGCGGCGAGAAAATGATAAATTCGCGCGCGTTCCTCTGCACACGCACGCCGGCACACGTCGGGGCGTATTGATTTACCGCCTCCGTTTCGCAGAGTTTACTCGAGAATTCACTCGAAGCGAACATCATTCATCATTAGACGGCTTCGAGGGTTTTTAAAAACCGTTTTCGCCGCGATCGATATTTTAGTGCCGCGATTGCGTTTTTTTCGTTCGCCAACCGTCCCGGGGGTGTCCGCGTGTTCCGCACGATATCGCGTTCAACACTTTTCCCGACGACCTGACGTCGCGCACGCGTGTTGCTAAAAAAATAGTGAACATTGCTTTATGCGCGCGCGCGCGCGAGAGAGAGATGAGATAACGTAGTAGTTGGTGCGCGTCGGAAAATTAATTTTATGTTAGAAAATGTTTCTCCCGATTAATAACTCTCTACGAGATGAAATTTTCCAACGCTAAACCAATATTCCGCGCGCACGCGCGTAGAGTGATTCGGATTTAATTATAACCAATTGCATTTCGGTTAGTGCTCTATGGAAAAAGAAAACCGCCATAAAACCGTTACATACATTATTACGTCACTCCGAAGGAATTGTAAAACGTTACGGGGCGAACAAAGGATTATTATTATGCGACATCATTACGAAAATCCAGTTTTGATTACATTTGAAAATAAAAATAATACTAAAATAAAATAAAAAACTAAATATTAATACTGAGTTTCGGTATTTTTCAATTTTTTTTTTTTTTTTTGTTTCGTTCTTATTTTATTTTATTTTAATTATTTTTTTACGCCCAACGAATTTAATCCCATGGTAAATTACGGAGTAAACATTCTGCGACGATGGTTTTATTATATTCATTAAAATAATAAGACGATACGTGTGTATTCGTTTCACAATAAAAATAATAATAATAATAATACTAATAGTCATTTACGATTGTAACTTACTAGCACCCACCTCCCTCTGCGCAATAACACGTTGCAATAAGAATTTTTCCTTGTTCTCGTAATTTATGAGAGTACATGCATTTTATTCGGCATTAGATTTACATAATGTGCTACGTTATTTGAAAATAACATGCCGGTCGTTGATCTTATCGAGTGAGTTAATTCCTTTGAATAATTAATTTAATTTTTATTTTTTTCATTCAACTTCCAAAGAAATATTCATCAAATGAAAATTTCGACTACCTAGGCGTGGTAATGTGAGGGAAGGGAGCGTCCTTTGACGTTATTCTTTTACAAGAATTATTTATATTTGTTTTCATATCGTAAATAATTTTGTATGCAGAAAATCGTGAGGAAACTATTTGTTGAATGGCGATATGATTTTTTTTTTGTGCTGGTACCAATATGTTTTTTTTTTTTTTTACTATAACAGCCATATATTCATCATATATTTACACCAATAAACAAATTATTTTCAACAATTTTAAATTTGAATATTTTAGTTTTCCAAAATGTAAATAATTTATATGTTTTGCAAGGAAGAATTAAACAGAAATAAACGAAAATATAATTTACATCAAACAAGTAGATCAAATAAATGAAACCGGTGAATAGGGTATCATTGAAAAAGAATCAAAAGAACCGTATTTGAGTGAATATTCGGTTATTATTTCAACGAATATATTTTACCGCGCAAACAAAATACAAATTATGTTTCAATTTATCAGTTGCTTCGTAATATTTGTATTAATAAAAACACTAACATTTCATGCACAATTTACGAAAAACGTTGAATATGATTTTACTTTTTATATTTTCCTCGGTAACGGTGAAGTAGAAATATATTCAAACCCACCAGGAAGATGTCTTGTGGAATCAAATTTTCAATTTAAACTGTATTTATATTGAAGCGTCAACAAAAAAAAAACATTTTTCATCCGCATTAATGGCGGTATAATATGCATTTCAGTGATATATTTGCACTGAACGTTTTAAAAAACTAGGCATTTAAGTCCAGTGTTGTGCTTAGATAAAAAAAATTATCTTGATATAGATAAGATACCTGAATTTAAAGTTATCTAGATATAGATATATAAAATCATTTTTCTCTAGATATAGGTAGATAAAATAATTTATTCTAGATATTTATAAAAGGCATTACCTCAAAATTTGAATGTATAATAATAATTGAAAATTAAAATAAATTTGTATTTTTATTACAATATTCACATAATTATTTCTATATTTTAGTATTTATAAACCATCTACCATGTAGCTGCAATAAAAAAAAATAACCAATTTAGAACTATGATGCGTTATCTCTGATTCTAATATTCTTGTAAAGGGTATTTCAGCGTTCGTAATATCACAGAATAATAGTAATATAGGCATGAAACTTCTCCGTATGAGAAATGTTATAAAATTATAAATAATTCCCACCTACTTACATATTATGTAGGTACTATATAGCTATAATAAATTGTCATTGTTTATAATTAATAATAATGATAATAAAATAATGCTATGTAAAACTATTTTAGGACCAATTTTTGCAAGTAAATATACAAATGGGATTTCTTATTTAGCTATTTATTTTATATTGAATGATAAAATTTTAGAATAATTATTTCTAAACATTAGTTACGGATTTTGTGAATT